GTGCAGGAAAGATGCACTTGCCTGCACAAATTGTAACAGTCCTGTGCTTCGTATTTCTTTCAGAAAAAAAGACCTACTATGAAACATCCTATATGGCTTCTTAGAGGGTAGAAAGAAAAGCCTCACCTCGACAGATCTTTTTCTGAGGGCTAAGAAAGTGAAAAGAGGGATTTTTTTCTAGTTTTTTCCGCTGACTGTGAGAGACACAGAAAGTCCCTACTTTTATACAGAAAAAGCTAATAAAAGCTTGGGTTTGGGGAATGAGATTTACATTAGGAAAGAGCATGAATGGATGAGGCTGGTAAATAGCAACCTCTGGTGTGTGTGTTTGTGTGTGTTATGCTTGCAGTCTGAGTTGGTCCAAAGCAGCATAAGCAGAATGCTTTATACTCAATGGCTACAACCGACATTGCCACAGGCCATCCAAATGAAGTAATAAATCTCATTTGAAAATGTGTTAATTGTTCAACTAACTGCCAGACTGTCCAATGGCTGTAAGACTATACTGTGTTTGAATGGGCAATATGTACAACTCCCACAAAGTCCCATCAACCAAGAGGTGATATCATAGCTGTTTTCTGATCTCTTGTAGGCTGTCACACAGAAAATAGAGGAACTTGTTCTATGGTGCCTTGGAGGACATGCCTCAAACAAATGGATTTAAATGACATGAACGGGAATTTCAAAACATTAGGAATGACACAACTTCGGCATTGACAATGAAGACATTGAAATGGTTAAAGATTTTGTTCAATCGTCAATCCAAATGGAGACTGCAGCCAAGAAATGAGAAGAAGACTGAGAACTTGGAAGGGAAGCAAGGAAGAAATTAGAAAAGATCATCAAAGGTAAAGATGGAGGCCAAGCCTCAGATCATCCACATGTTTGTATTTCCAATCACCATGCATAAATTTAAAAACTCGTTAGGTAAGAAAGCTGACTGGAAAGAAAAAATGATTTGTTTGAAACATAGTGCTGGAGGAGAGCTTTGTGGATGCCCTGGACTGCTTGAAAGATGAACAAGTAGGTCCTAGAAGAAAATCAAGCCTGAACTATCTCAGGAGGCAAACATGTTGAAATTGAGGCTGTCCTAATTTGGGCACACCATAAAAAAGCCAGATTCTCTGGAAAAGACAATAAGGCTGGGAAAGGTGGAAGGGAGCAGGAAAGGAGGAAGACTAAATACGTGAAGGATTGACTCCCTAAAGTTTACAAAAGCGGAGCAGGGCAACTGAGGACAAGACATTTTTGGAGATTGCTTATTCATAGCTTCATCATACGTTAGAGGTTACTTGACAGTACATAACAATAAATTGGTTCCAACTTGATGGAGCCTTGTGGCACCGAGGTTGAATTGTAGTATTGTACCCAAAACTCTGGTCACAGTCAGGGTTTGATAGCAATGGATTCTGACAGCTGACTCGAGGTTGACTCACCCTTCCATCCTTCTGAGGTCAATAAAATGAGTACCTAGGTCCCAGGGGGATGCAAGGACAATGGGTAGCCTATATAATTAAAAAATAATAAACCACCCAGAGAGTGCTCTGAGCACTATGAGGTAGTATAGAAACAGCATACTTTGAACTATATTATTGATATTGCTTTTATTTTATCTATTATTGTTAGCCGCCCAGAGTAGACTTCGGTCTAGATGGGCGGGGCATAAATGTAATGAATGAATAAATAAGGTTTTGCTTTGCAGTACATAATAGACACATCTCATACACACCTCAATTTTCTTGGAAAACGTAGGCCAGTGATATCAATAGCTGAATGGTAGTTCTTCAGATAACTTCTATCTCTAACAAAGAGATTGTGCATAGGGTGATGGTGGTTTTGCATCAAGCAGGAATGGTGTGTTTGAACTGTCCTTTACAAATGTAATTATTCCCAGAATTTCCTACACTTCAAGCTTGCAAGACATGTCCAGATGGGACGTTTTGGTATTCTGCCTTGGCAATGTGACCTCTAAAAACTAGAAAGAAACTAGGCTAGGAAATCAGTGGGTTCTATGTCAGTGTGTGATGGTTTTTAGATTAAGGTAAACTTCTGAGCTCATGTAATTGCTTATTCTGCTTGTATGTTGTGTTCATAATTAGTGGTTTTAATAGAATACTTTGGTTAATCCTGTGGCAAACGTAGGTATCCCTATAAAAGTGGTTTTGAGAGGTAGGAGGAGGTAGAGTCTTGGGATTAGACATGCCTGGTAGGCAGACATTCAATTCAGTCAAGTAGCTTGCCTAGTCCTTCCGGATGTTCACTCACATGAAATGTTCTTAGCTGCCATTTTGTCCTCTGGCCTGTTGGTGCTGCTGATGAGCAAAATAAATGGTCAAAATAAATGGATGAGGGGGGCAATTTGCCACCAGGCCCCAATCAAGGGAATTGAGAAAAAGACTCATTGTCTTGGATACTCCAATGGAGTATAAGTGGGAGGGGAAGACATGGGAATCTATAGGAATTCATTCTCTCCCTAAATCTACTGTACACGTGGGTACCAATCTTGAGTGTTTGTACCTTGTATTGGAAGCAGGGTCATTTGGGTGTCCTGGTAAGCAGTCTCCTTGACCAAACTGACAGAGACAATATTGGCTTTGAGACTGGGGACCTAACATTGCTTTCCTGCATGAGCTGTGTAAGGGAAGCTTTGATTAAACTGATAGGGTTGGGGCCTGGTATTGGGAGAGAAGCTACCTTGGTGGTTCTATGGAAAGACCTTGACTAAGAAAAAGGCAGCATATGGGATTCTATTGATTCTTTTGTTAGGACTTCCAGATCTTGGAGGGCTGGTTGACGTTGTGGAGAATCGCTATGCTTTCGCTACTCTCCAAGCAACAGAACTGTAAGTAAGGCAGGAAAGCCAGGGTTTTGATCCATGGCACAAAAATGTAGAGGGCATGCACTGGAAGGGCATGAATTCACTCTCCTGAGCACCTATGTCACCTTCAGCTACTCTCCCTTGAAAGAAGAAAGCACAAAACAGGTAGGATCAGCATGGAATCCATATGCCCATCACACCTGCAGACCTGGGTGTTCCTTCCTTTCCTCTTTCCTCTCTCCACAGAAGCCAAATCTCACATGGGCCATGCTTAACTAATACAGTGAAGCCCTGGTCTCACAACTGCTAGTTATGATTCTGCCAGGTGTAGAGACAAACCGTAGGGAAGAGGATAATGTTTGAATTTTGGTATGAGGTGCCTTCAAAGCCTAGGCACCCATATATACCCATTCCTCACTGGCAGCAGGGCTCAGTGCCTCAGTGCTAAGATGCTTCTGTTTTGTCCTTGCACAGCCTTGGCACACCAAAAAACTGATCACAGGGAAGAGAACTAATGAGAGCCGATATTTAGGCCCATTGTGCCTTTCAGAACATGGCAGGGAGTGGACCACCAGCACTGCAACTCAGGAACCTTTCCTATTGCAGCAGCTCCAGCAGCTACAAGACAGGCTTTTTTTGTGGGGAGGGGGAGGAGAAGAGGGAGTTCCCAGTGGTTATGTAGTGTAGTACTGGAACAACACCATGAGTCATGTCCATTGTGGATTAGGTCACACAGGACAAAAGCACCGGCAGAAATGTGAGTGATTGCTGCAGCAGCTGGGCACATTTCACTGGGCACATGGACAGGTTCCCCCCAGCTCTAAGCTGCCTGATTTCTGCATTAGCCAGACCCATTTATCAAACCACCCTCCCGCCCATGGTCACTATCATTTAGTGCTAGCCCTGCTCCAGACCCAATCCTTATTTGTCTAAGTAGTCCCTCTGACATCACCAGAGAGCCCCTTTGTCCCAAGTGACCTCTGAGGAAGTGGAATGCTACTGACCTAGTAATATGACCTCTTGAACCTCTTGGCATTTGGTTCCACCCACAAAGGTGTCTTTGTAGAACAAGCCAGCTTCTCCATCCTGGTGCCCTCAAGGTGTGTTAATTTATAATAGGCCCAATTCAGAGTGCTGTTTCTCTGCTTCAAAGCCCCTTCCCAAAGTTGGAAGGGGCAGAATTTTTGAAATTTCATTTCCACATATACCTATTGAAACAGAAAGATTTCCTTTTGGAGGCCCTGCACCCATTGTCCTGGCCACGAAAAGCAACGTAGGTGGCAAACAAGAAGTCTAAGGGGTGGTCCCCTTCCCAGAGAACCTTGCTGGTGCCACATGTATTGCCATTAGATGCCAAGTGAAGATTTTATATTCTCCCACATTTTTTCAGATCCATTGTCTTAGCATTCCGAATTACAAATATCATGTATAATTACACCATGGAGGTTGGGTGTATTGCTTCCCTTGACAATAAATCTCATGTTGAAATGTGTGGTTTTGATATATTGGAATTTGGTACTAAGCTTTAATATGTTATGCTTGCTTGAGAATCACTTGGGAAAAAAAAACTTTTGCCAACCTGTATGACGGCATAGCTAAGAGAGTGGGTTACCTGGCTGTGGAGCCAAAGCTTAAGAGCGCAATTCCCCACTGTGCTTCCCAGCAGAAGAGCCAGCCTATGTAGCCTTGGGCAAGCTGTACAATTCCAGAGTGTCTCCAGAAGAAAGGAAGGAAGGGCAGACCACTTCTGAGTACCATATACTTGGAAAGGGGCATCGTAAATTCGACTCAGCTTGGCAACACATGTTATTATAAATCCCATAAGTAAACCTGAATAATCCAGGCACTAAATACCGATTCCTGATATCATTGTGTAAATTTATGCTGAGGATCTTTCACAGGCACTAAATACTGATTCCTGATATCATTATGTAATTTTATGCGGAGGATCTTTCGTGACTTTGAGAGCCTTGTAAGGATTCAAAGCATATGCTAATTGTTTTAAATACATAGATGGAAAGCGAGTGCTTTGGTCTCTCTAAAGCAGTGACCATTAATTGGTCTAAAAGCTTGTTAGAGCTTTCAGGAATTCAAGAATATCTAGGATCTCAAGTTTGGGAACTATTGTTGTAAAGTCCTGTATAAATATTGAATGATCAGGTATGGATGGCAACAAGAGGGGTAGCTGTCATAGGCATGTATTTAATAACATTCTGGGAATTTTGTATTCTTTTCTAGATAATATACACCTATATTGATACACACTATTGAAACAGAAATCAATCTTCTTCTTCTTCCTCTTCCTCCTCTTCTGAACTTCTGCAGGCATAAGATAAAGAAATAATGTTATTAAAAATGCACCCCTTGAACTGGATTTCCTTTCAATGATTCTATCAAATTATTCTTCTATGTCTGCCATTACCAGTGCTTGGAAATATTTTATTTAAAACAAATTACTATTCTTATTCACTGATATTTCAAGTAATTAATTAAAAATCCAATGGCTGAAATCCTTTTCCATTGTTACGCAAAAGGCTTATGTTTTGGAAGCCAACTGCTGTAAATTAAGAAATTTCTGTAGATGCTATCTGTTGAATGCTAAGTCAAGCAATTCAGTATGCAACAGACACAGTTTGTGGAGATTTCTTAATTTATAAGCAATTTGCTTCCAAATATTGCTTTCTTAACTTACAGTAATTTGCTTCCAAATATTGCACAACAGGCTTTCAGCCATGATCATTATTGTTCTCATTAAATATATTACAGTACTGTCATTTTTAGCAGTTCTACTTGATATTCAAAAACCTAAGACCAAAATCCTGTCATTCCTCTATGCCCAGGTAACTCAAACATTGTACAAGTGGCCTGTCATTTTCAGCAGTTCTACTTGATATTCAAAAATCTAAGACCAAAATCCTGTCATTTCTCTATGCCCGGGTAACTCAAACATTGTCCAAGTGGTTGCAAAATTTGTGCCAAGATGGAAGTCACATCTAGCAAGCAATTCCATAGGCACTGTTACACAACCTGCCTCGCTTTGAATAAAGTATTGATACCCATTTTTACATCCTGGGACCACCGTTTCTCTTTGTTTGACAAATAAGACATGTCTGCGACATTTCTTCCTTCTTTGAAGACATTAAAAATGGAGAAGTCTGCGACATTTCTTCCTTCTTTGAAGACGTTAAAAATGGAGAATAGAAATGGGGATATTCATATTCATAAATAAACATGAATATTCCTGTCCCAGCAGCACCTAATATGAGTCCAGCCCCCAGAATTGCCCCATCCACTCATGTGCTGCCTTGCCACCAGCATCCCACCCTTTCCACCAATTGCAGCAGTAGCTCTTTCTATCTCTGCTCGGTTGGCCACTCCAGGCAGGAAGGCGAGAGGACAAGTCTCCCCACATGGCTGCTGAGTGGCGAGACAAGCAAGGGAACAGAGAAGCTTTTGCTGCAGTTGTCAGGAAGAGCGGGACACTGGCAGCATGGCGGCAATTGAATTGAACAGCTGGTTCTGGGAGCTGAACCCGCATTAGATGCAGCTGGGATGAAGATATTCATATTCATTTTCAAATATCCCCATCTCTAATGGAGAGCCTTGTCAGTAAAAAGAGATGGCAACGTTATACATCAGCAAGGGACAGAAATTCAGGAAGTGTGGTACGCAAAAGAAATCTGCACCACAAACATGACTATACTGCAGAACACCAATTACTTTTCTGCTCCTTTTGTGGTGAAATGTTTGGTATTTCAGCACTAGAAAGACAAAAGTTTTCTTCCTGAATAGAATGATGGGCTAAATCTCTAACAGACCACTTGTCCTTCAAAATTCAGCAGAACTGCATTGCAGCAACGGTGAATGAAATGTGTACCTGGCACCCTCCAAATGTTGTCACATGACAACTACAGTTCCCATCATCTCCAGTGGCTATGCTGGCAATAATGGGAGTTGCAGTTCAAGGCATCTGGAGGGTACTAGGTTATGGGAAACCATAACACGGTGCTGGTTCCTGAATTAAATGACAAAAATCCATGCAGTACTACCAAAAGGTGGGTCCCTCTGCTTTCTCTAAAATAATTTAATATTTAACACATCCACTGTTTCCACTTTTTCCTTCCTCTTGTTCTCTTTTATTCCTGTTCTCGCAATAAATAACTCAATTTGGTTTTGCAACTAAGTATATGAGTTTAAGTGGGACGTGGTGGCACTGTGGGTTAAACTGCAGAAGCCTCTGTGCTGCAAGGTCAGAAGACCAGCCGTCATAAGATTGAATCCACGTGACGGAGTGAGCTCCCATCGCTTGTCCCAGCTCCTGCCAACCTAGCAGTTCAAAAGCATGCAAATGCAAGCAGATAAATAGGTACCACCATGGTGGGAAAATAACGGCGTTCCGCGTCTAGTCGCACTGGCCACGTGACCACGGAAACTGTCTTTGGACAAACGCTGGCTCTACGGCTTGGAGACGGGGATGAGCACCACCCCCTAGAGCTGGACATGTCTGGACTAAATGTCAAGGGGAACCTTTACCTTTATATGACTTTTTTAAAAAGATGGCTTTGTAACATTAGATTATCTACCTCATAACATGAATCTCTCACTAATTTTAGCCCGGCAGCTTAGAAGGGAAGAATCAACCCAGGTTTGGATACTATTGACTTACGGTTTCTTTGAAGTGCCTTCAGTCCCTTCGCTCCCTTCATCTCCGGACGGCCTGAGGGAAGAACAGTGAAAAACAGGTATTGAGGAGAATTTGTGCTGCCACGACCGTTCACTTGTACTAGTCTGTAATTCTAGCTTCAAGCGTCCACCACCAACTACATTGGCATTTCATTACATAGGTGTGGGGTTGTGCGGGGCTAAAAGCAGCATTGCAAGACCTGTCCTTAGCAACGAGGGCCCTGGTCACATGAGGGAAACATTATGTCGGTATTTTTTTTTCCTGGTCACACAATGCAGAGGCAAGACCGAGACATTTTCCTGGCTAGCGGTGCCACTGAGGAACATTTCCCCACTGCCAGGAAGGTTGTGTTATGCTGTACCTTTGTTGTACTGGTGCACTCCTTACTGGGATTGCCTGTGTGCACAGAGTCAAAGCCAGGAAGATGGCCGCCACTACTGCACTGTGCACATTATTTTTTGTTTTATGTACCTTTGTTGTACTGGTGCACTCCTTACCGGGATTGCCTGTGTGCGCAGGAGTCAAAGCAAGGAAGATGGCTGCCATTACTGCACTGTGCACATTTTTTGTTTTAGTTTTTGTGTCCAATACATCGTTGATAAAAGTATGTCACTTTGGGGGGGGACCACCATTACATTATTAGTGAGTAATCGGTGTAACAGAGGGACACTTTCCTAAACAGAAACCTCTTCCTGATCAATGTTGCCTTTAATTTTTAACTCCCATGTGCGAGTCTCCCCCCCACCCCCACGTGAGATTCCATTGTGACAGGAACGAAAGGGGCTGGAAACAATAGCTGTGGGTGCACGGGGGAGGAAGAAAGCTGTGCAGAAGGGAGGACGGAGTCAAGCTCGCTCCCACAGTCATGCACGTTAGAAGATTTGTTTGTGATATATTGATGTGTACAGGGGCTAAATTGCTCTTTGAAGCAAGAAAGAAAATAAACCAGTACCATGGTGTAGCAGGCCATAAGAATTCACACAGGAGGAAATAAATCAGTACTGCTAAAAGTTCTTGGGATATTTGTCCTGGGATATAAACCACATGACCACGATTCAGTACAACAGAGGTATGGAAAGTGCCGGAAGAACTAGAAAACATTTCTCTCGTGTGACCAGGGCCTAGGATTGCTTTGCCCCTTCTTTTCTCCCTACACTTTGGGAGGAAAGAAGAGTATTTTTCTTCAAGCTCTGAGGAGCAGATCTTTTTGAATTAAAGAAAACAGCGTTTGTAGCACCTCAAAGACGTGACAAGTTCTACCTGGAGTAAGCTTTTCTGGGCTGCAGCCCCCAATGGTTCATGAAAGGTTATGCCCGTTAAAACATGCTAGTCTTTGAGGTGCTGTAATAATCTTTTGTTATTTTTACTGCAACAGTTACTACCCCATCAAGAGAACCATATTAAGTTTTTCAGTCTGTACGAAATGAGCAAAAGGATGAACATGAGGTGGAGTTAATTATCATAAATGTAATGTAATTCAAATCAGTAAGTTTCCTTTAATGATCATGGATCTGACAGTCTTCACACAGAAAGCTGCCTTTCAGACCAGCTGTTAAAGTCAGTTGAAAGAGAAGGGGGGAAACAGCCCCCGCTTTGTTACAGATACTCACGCTGTCTTTGGACTTGAGGCTTCGCCTGTGGCCTCTTCACTAGGGGGTGGTTCAGCCACTGCAGGCGGTGGCGGAGCCCTAACGGAGTGAGAAACAGGCCTTCAGGAGACTGGCATTGCAGGTAAGCTAGCTGACTTTGTTTGCAGTACAGCTAAAAGCTGGAATCTGCTCAGACCAACACTGCCCTAACACTAAAGCTTTCAAAAGTCACTTTTTGGGGAGCAGATCCAGTGACCATCCTGGCTGGGGGATTCCGGAAGCTGCGGAGTCCAAAGAGTAACTCCACTTTTCCAAACGCAGTGTAAACAAATAAGAACCTAAGTATGTGTGGCCCAAATATGCTCTAGGTCACCAAAATAGCACACCCCCTCCCAAGAATCATCAGGACGCTTGACCCATATGAGATAAGTTTGCTTCAAGTCTGGCCCGTGTTCTACCTGTATTTGCAAAGTCACTGAATGAGCACATACTCAGTCAATTATCTATTTTATGGCTAGTATTGGAACAGGAACGGCACAGAGATATGCATACACAACTGCATGCACACATGCACATGCACAAACACACATGGACATAGAACTACTGGATATCTCAGTGGTTTAGCTATCTGGCTGCGGATCCAAAGGATGGGAATTCAATCTCCCACTGTCCCTCTTTGCCAAGGGCTGGATTTGATGATCTAGAGCAGTGGTCCCCAACCTTGGGCCTCCAGATGTTCTTGGACTTCAGCCCACAGAGGTGGTGGTGAAGGATTCTGGGAGTTGTAGTCCAAGAACATCTGGAGGCCCAAAGTTGGGGACCACTGATCTAGAGGGTCCCTTCCAGCTAAGCTATTCTGAGATTATTATTACAGTAGGATCTCATATCCACAGGATCAGTATCCATGGTTACACTTATCTGCGGTCTGAAAATATTAGAAATATTAAAAGAAAAAAACTAGAAATATGTATTTTCATTATACTTTTAGCAGAACTGGCCACTACAGGGAACCAGAGACCATGCTACATATTCTTGTTGTTGACCAGTTTTGGTAATAATGTTAATACCTTTTTCTGGACTTTTTCTTTTACCTTGCCATGTATTGCGTTCGCGATTATTCACAATTTCCAGCAATAAATAGGAACCAATCCCCCATGGATATGAAGGGCCTACTGTATTATACTTTTAGTTTTGCAAGATCGACTCCCAATAGAGAGAAAAAAACCCCAAACAAACAAACAGCCTGATGGGGACAGAACATGCTCAGTGGAAATGGGAGTACTGACTGAATATCTAATAGAATGTAATAGAATGTCTGGAAATCTAATCTAAACCACTGTGAACTGCAACATTGTGTTACAGATCTCATCCATAGATCCCTTTTTATTAGAGGAAGGCCTAATATTAAGTATACTGGAGTGGAGATCCAGTATACTTAATATCAAGTACAGTTAATATCAAGTATAAGTATATTAAGTATACAGGTGTTTTACAGCTTGAAACTCTTTATTGAATGTCAATCAAACTTTTACTTGTTATTTATGCTGATTATAAATAACCCACAGGATTTTGGCTAGTGTTGCCTATAGATGCTGTCCACACTGTGCAATTTCTTTTAATGCAACACTTCATAATTGCAACATTGCGTTACGGATCTCATCCATAGATCTCTTTTTATTAGAGGAAGGCCTAATATTAGGTATACTGGAGTGGAGATCACCCTGCAGCTAACTTGTATACCCCGCCCCTCTAGACCATGTCTAGAGGCCCAATATTAAGTATACTGTACTTGAGTGGAGATCATCCTGCAGCTAACTTGTGTAAGTGTAATAAATATGCTTAGTAAAGCAGGCAACATAAGGATGGTTTGGGCAAAATTCTGAGCAGGCTACCCTCACCTATTTCTCCCAAATGACTAGTTGCAAAGGGAATAAGCCGTAGCCCAGGTTTAGATAACCCTGCAATTACTCACAATTTCTTTGAACTGGCCTTTTTAACAAGAGGCTCCTCAGGAGGAGGAGGAGGAGTTGCTGCCTCTCTGTCAAAACCAGGAAAAAAGAGAATTAACGAAAGGTTATGGCATGTAAAAGCTGTTCTCATCCGTTCCCTCACGTGGTCATGATCTCTGAAGATTTCTTCAGCAACTGTTCAGAGTATTTTCTGTTCAGAGAAGTTTTCTTCAGCAACTGTTCAGGGAGCCCTAGACAAGTATGTCACACATTTTGAGCCAAAAGTGAGCAGGGCCTTAGCTTCCTGTTATGTAGGACTTCAGCGTCCAACCTTGCCCAAGCGTTAGTCAATCTCCGTTTCACTTTTCTAACAGGTTCTCGGTCTTTTCTTCATAGTCATTTTTAAAATTATAGGTCTCATTTATTCTACTGTAATTCTATTTTTTTTGCCCACTGATCTACTGTTCCCTCTTGCAGACTGTTTTGAATGGCATCAGGCTGCTAATCTGTGCCACAAATTAGAAAACGGAAAGGCATAACTAACAACCCAGGTTTTGCATCTCTTGGGGTTACTTACATTTTTATGGAACTGCGCTTTTCCATAGGAGGGGGCTCAGAGATTAGGGATGCTCTGAAAAAGAGGAAAAAACAGACATTTCATGGAATTTGCTACACAAGGTCTCAGGTGTTTTGCAGCTTGAAACTATTTATCGAACGTCGATCAAACTTTTGTTATTTATGCTGATTATAAATAACCCACAGGATTTTGGCTGGTGTTGCCTATAGATGCTGTCCACACTGTGCAATTTCTTTTAATGCAACACTTCATAAATGTAATTTTTCATTATTGCTTTATGGTTCAAATTTTGTTAGCATTTTAAGGACGTTTGTTATTATTAATACAGTTAACAGAAGATGATTGCAAGTTTTGGCAAGGATTGATTAATAGATATTGTAATGAAGGGAAGAAAGCTAGAATAAATAAAAGGTACTGGTATAAAACAACAAAAAAGGAGGTATAGGCATACCAAATATAAAAAATTATTATATGGCTAATCAGCTGATTATTGGGAAATCATATATATAACCCAGAAAGGTTAATTTGGTGGGAAATGGAATCATCAGAACTACAGGTTGATACTAGAAAACATCTATTTGGTATAATTAAAAAACATAAAATAAGTGAAATTAATAACCTATTTTTAAAAACTATGTTAAATGTGTGGTACAAGTATAAAAAGAATCTATGTGCGTCTAACTCTTCATTAGGATTAGTGACTGAAATAGAGAATTTTCCTGCCATTATTTAGAATTATTTAAAGAAAAAAAGTGATTTGATTAAAAGATTGGTTGGATAAAATGAGATCAAAAGATCAAAATAAATAAAATAAAGATTGAAATAAATCCTTAAAATAAGAATATATCATGGTTGCATTATATGCAATTAGAAAGATGGACTAACGAATGGGTAAAGAAGTACAACAAAGGTAGAGAATATACAAAGTATGAACAGTTTCTATTATCATATGAAGATATTCAGATGACTAACTCAGTGAAAGGTGTAGTGAGTAAAATTTATAAATTCCTGCTAGATCTAGAAGAAGAAGAGACCGAGAATGAAGGATCGAAGCTAGTGTGGGAACAAGACTTAGGAAAAAGAATAAATGGTGAAGAACGGATGAAGATGTTGAAAATGAGGGTTTTATGTCGGTGAGAATAAAATAATTTTTTTTCAAATTGGGTTTAAGATGGTATTTGACACCAATAAAATTGAATAAAAGTAACGCTAGTTATCTACATGTCTGTTAGAAATGTGAGAAGGAAATTGGTATATGGTGGGAATGTGAAAAAGTACAAAGATTTTGGAAACTAGTCTTTAAAGAATTAAATGATGTATGTGAAAAAGATATAGAATTTAATCCTGAGATAACTTTGTTATCAATATTTGAGAATGTGGAATATGATAAGATGACTAGAGAGTTGATTACCAATTTATTATTTGATTACTTATTAACAGCAGCCAGATTAATAATAGTTAGCAATTGGAAATCGAAATTGGAATTTCAAATGGAAGAATTGATCAAAATTGGAATTTCAAATGGAAGAATTGCATAATCAAATATGGAACATTGCTATAAATGATAAATTAACTTGTAATTTAAAGGTTAAGAAAGGAGAGATGGAAAATAATAATTTTATGATATATGGAGCAGATTTCTTGAATATGTGCTAACATGAAGAAAAGGGAAAGCTCCAAATCAGGAATCAATGCAGTTCTTCAGAAAAGGACAATAAAGGAAGAAGAATAAAGATTATGGAAGAAGAGAATTACTGCAAGAGGTTCTGATTAGGGTGGTGGGGAACAGTTGATTTGTATTTTGGTTTATGTATTTTATGTTTATGTTGTAGTTTATCTAATAAAATTTTTAAAAAGCAATTAATAATACAAAAAAACCTGTACAGGCAGCACATACAAAAAGAAAATCAGATCCTGCCATTTGTAAAACGAAATCCTGTTGAAGGAGTGCAGTATACAAAATAACCAGTTTGATTTATTATTACTATTACACATAATTCATGATACTACTGATAGCCCAGGAGAGAAAACAATGAAGTATCAGAATTGCTGAAATTCAGTTTCTTGATTACATTTGCCGGTATTTATTAGGTGAGAGTCTTTGCCTTTATGAACAACGCAAGAGTCAAAAATTCAGAAGGGGAAGCATTTAATGTAAATCTCCAAGAGGAGAAAATTGCTTCTGTTGAATTTTTGCCACTTATAAGAAGGAAGGAAGGAAGGAAGGAAGGAAGGAAGGAAGGAAGGAAGGAAGGAAGGAAGGAGAGAGAGAGAGAGAGAGAAAAGAAAGAAAGAAAGAAAGAAAGAAAGATCTGCAATATAACAAGCTGAGATCTTGAAACAGCCTTTTACATTTATACCTTGCACTGGCCCGGTTGAATATATCTTCCTCATCTGATGAATCAGCATCATGTAACTTATCAACCATGCTCTTTCTCTGCGTATTATCCACGGGCCGATACATGTCTTCGAGCCACATAGGTTTATCAAGTGAAGAAGCTACAGAACTCTGCAAAGAAGAATGTGAGAATGGGTCACACAAACAAAACAACCAAACAGCTTCACAATTGGGTTTATTTAAAAAAGCCATAGTCTTCAGTAGCTTTTCCCCAATTTTCCCTTATATAATGTGTTGCACAACCATTCCCATCAATGCTGTGTCCAAGCAGGCTGAGGAAGACGAGAGCTATAATTCAACACATCTAGACTAGAATGCACTTTGGAAAGGTCTGGCTGAGGTGGTCAAAAGCCAGTTTCTCGTCATTGTTTCTTCAGACTCCAGAACAGGGCTGGACAACTGACCTCCAAGCTTTCCAAAAATTGCTTACTCAAATTCCTATCAGCCCTAGCTAAAGTGGCCAATGATAAAAATAACTGTAAAAATCTGGATAGCCCCACTTTGTCCAGACCCATTCTAGAGTTGTAGTTCTCCACCTCTGCTACCCCCAGATGTTTTAAACTTCAGCTTCCAGAGTCCCTAACCATTAGTCGTGCTGGCTGGGTTTCTGCCAATAGAGTAGAACTCTATCTGTGGGGGATCCATTCCATAATCTATCACAAATGCCTGAAACCACAGATAGCAGCGAAGCCTATAAAAAAGGAGTCGGAACAAAAACCACAAGGCACACCTCCTTGTGTGTTGTATATTGGGCTGCAGCAAACCACGGGTATCTGAAATCGTGGATACCAATTTACAGATACGGAGGTCCTATAGTAGCTTCACAATTGGTATTTAACTACAGATGCCATAATTGAGACAGGGAGAAAACATAGGTCTGCTGCTACCTAAGTCTCTAATAATGCATGACTCTTCTCTCTCCCACCAAAGTGAAGGGGAGGTGACCTTAAGGAGAGAAATCAAGTGCTCCACTTAGGGAAGTAATATAACAAGTACAACATCTTTCAGTTTCCTGGCGTTGACACTGGAAGGTCCAGCTCTCCCGGGCAGTGTGTGCTGCAACATTCCTATGGAGTCTTTGCAAACAACATACTCTCTTGCTAAACACTTTATATTTGTCAGACTGGTAGATGCACTGTGTGTGACTACATGCAGAAAGAGTTTGGAAAAGTTACTTTTTATGGGTTAAGAACTCCTAGAATTCCTCAGCCAGCATTCAACCGTTAGCTGGAGGATTTTGGAAGCTTTGGTAATTTCCTTCTCCGAACCCAACTTTTAAAAGGCTGTGGTGATGGTTCTTGTTGTTGTTGTTGTTATTGTTGTTGACCTTGTGGAACAATAAGGCTGTCACAAGGCCACATTGTGTGTCTGTAAGAACACGTGGGAATGTGGGGCCTCAACTTTTAAATCAAACAGCAAGACAGGATGACTAGTCCACCCGCACTTTTCTATTTATGGGACAACATACCTGCTTTTCTGGGGTACTTTTCTTCCTTCTACCCAGAAAAGACCTTGGAAGAAAGAATTTAAACATGAGAATTTTTTTAAAAACTGTTTAAAGTAAATCTTCATTTAATTCTATATAAATGTTTCAAGATGAGAACGATTATAGATTTCAGGGGTGATGAATATATATTGCATTCTCATACTTTAAATCTCAGGGCAACACTTGCTTTGACTTTTAGGATCTTGGGCTTATGTCTGATAAAGTTACTTTTATATGAAAAAAATAATTATAATTGCCTCAACGCTTATCTGCGTTCTTGTTATCGAAAGTGATCAGAGCAGGTTGATTCTCTGAACGTAACATCATCGTATATTTAATGTGCAAGTTTCAGGGCTTCATTGGCAAGTCTGACCAGTCAGCTTTAAAAGAAATACATCACTGGAGAGGTGATGTTTTATCAACTTCTAATTACAAAGTCAGCATCTGATTTGACCTACGATTTCAATCCTGATATCCACTCCTTATAAACTATATCTTTGGCTTTCAGTAAAAGTAGAAGTATTCTGATACTGGGCTAATTCCACTGTTAACCCTACCCAGAGGGGACCCAGTGACATAAATAGGACATATAAGTTACAAACAAGTTGAATCCTATTGTTATCAGTTGATCTACTCTAGCTAAGACTAGTATCGTTTAAATGCAGTAATCCTGCATGCAACATTTTGACAGTGAAGACTAATAAAAACTCTGTGTCTTCAGGCAACAATTACCATTTTTCATCTGAGGTGCCTTCTCTTGCTTTAGCAGAACGATGAGAACAGATCTGTTGAACAAGAAAAGAATGGAAAGCTTGTGAGTAATGACTGTAACAACAGCCCTGCAGTTTCACACAGCTGGGGGGGGGCGTTTCCATTCTGACCGGAACAGAGTCCTGTTCATGTGGCATGTCTGAACACTGGGATCGGGGGGGCGGGGGAGGGGAGGGAAGAGGAGGTCTAAGGATCTGAGGTATAACAATTCTATCTTATTGGCTCACAATATTTGAAATGAGAGCCGGGGCAAGTTACTTTTGGTGCTTCACCTCCCACAATCACCAGTCAGTGGCCATGCCACTGGGAGTTATACTCCAAAAAAAAAGTGATTTCTTTCCATGCCCTGAGGTAAAATATAAGGGGTATGAGTATGGAATGGTTGCCCATCTAACAGTGGCAGAATATCAGTTTTTTTGAGGACATTCATTTTCCCCTTCAACTCACTGGGATACAACAATTGAATACCCCGAGATATGACAATTCAATACTCTAAGATTAAAGAGCTTAAACATGCATTTTGGCTTACCTCAATTAGACAAATTACTGCTATAATAACCATTATGACTGCGGTCAAGGAAATAGCCAACAAGAGTTTGCTGTTGTACCCATATTCGAGAATCCCCTGCCTTGATATCTACAAGAGTTGAAAAAAGAATGAAAAGAAAAGTAGGCCATCTTGGATTTTGCATTTTTGCCAACACTCTGAACCAAAACATTCCCTGAGGTACCAGGTGGCTTGCTTGCCTACGAGCATATTAAGGTCCCTTACACTAGGCTGGAAGGTGAACTGTCCAGTCTGGAAGTATGGTGGGGACAGCTGTCAGCTCAGATGTCAAGTTCCAATAGGGGAAAGTCTTCGGTGGGCAAGATTCCAGGGATGGGAGCGGCCAAATGCAAATCTTAACAACGTCCTGCAAGTACAACAGGTTTCAGATATTCAAAGCCTTCCCAGGTTGCAAAATTCCAGTCCTGCTCTCTCTGGAAGCTATCCTCCTGGTTTCTTTCCAACTCTATAGCCTGAGATGTTTTCAGCTTCTGTTTCCAGACATTTTTCTAGCACTGGGCCTCAGATTTATGGTCATCCTTAGATGCAGTGAAAGGATTTCTGCAAACCCTCAGACAATTTGTATTTTGCCTCTCCTGTCTCCCTTACCAAATACTACAGCATATTGTTAACATTTCCTAGTCTAAATGATCCTTCCAGTTTGCACCGTTAACACCTCTGCTGCAATACATATGTTTATGATTTCCATTCCTTCTTATAAACAACATATGATTCAATCATTTAGACTAGAGGTTTATGGTATTTTTCCCCCTCGGGTTGTGGAACATGATATAACTGAGAAATGTTGATGCCATGATGCATTGTGCTCTCAAGGTTTATGGCCCACTACTAGCTTTGATTAACCAGGTATTGCAAGCTCTATTATGCTTCAAACACCTGCAAAAAAATTTCCCTTCCTAGTCTCCAACAACAGTACATGTGGGAGAGAGAAAGAAAACATGCCTGTCATAAAAGTTCTATCATTTCGTTTGCAGCTGACTTAGTAACAATAATGTCAGATTCAAAAATTGAACACAGCGTTGGGCCAAATCCAGTTTTAGTTCGAACTAGAGCTGACAAACTTGACTTCTGTTAGTAAATAAGAAGTCTCATTATCTTCAGTGAGCCTACTCTAGTTGGGAATAAACTTCTTCACTAATTAGGCCCACTGGGGCTCTCTTTGCCTTTGAGTCTTGGGCTTCTTTATCTCTTTCTGCTCATTGGTTGTAGCCTAACCCCAATAACTTGCGCAACACAACTTGCACTTCGTGGCTTTTTTACAGGAAGGTGTAACACAGCACTTTACACAGTAACAGCTTTCCAAAAAAAAAACAGGCATCAGATGAACTCCCAGTGACCTGATCTGGTAGGCCAGGTTTACCCCCTCACCTCATCAGAAGGTTTCCCCTCATTACTTGGCCTTGCGGTGCTCATGTTGCCTCCTTGCCACAAGGAGTAAGTCTCCTTGATGTTTTCTCGGTCACTAAAGAGTTTCATAAGGAGGCCTGTCTTAGAGATGAGCTTAGCACAAGCCATCTGGATGTCAGGCTTCGTACAGTCCATTTTCAGGATCCGGATCACATGAGAGATGAGGTTCCGCACTGGTACATTTGGGATGAGGGGCTCCAAGCGCTTGTTCACCTCAGCCTCAAACAGGCTGCCTTGAAGCAAATAGTCACCCCCAGATTGGAGGGAAGTGGCCTGTGGAGAAGCCGTAGTCGGTTGTTCATGATGTTCCCAGCGCGTGTCTTGGGACAGAGTTATGTCTGGTGAGAGCTCATTCAGCGTTCCAGTGCCTGCAGCCGGCATTTGGGGTTTGTTCTCTTTCTGCATGAGACGGAGGAACTCTTGATCCTTTTGCAATGTCTGAGAGTCCAGCTTATTTCCTGGCAGAAGATTCTCTGAATTCTCTCCGCTAGGCGTATTTCCTGACACAAGATCCTCAGTGTTCTCTGTATCTGAAGAGCGGCCAGGTGGACTCTCTGACGGAGCCTGCTGGCTACCAGATGTTTCTTCCTCCTGTTTCCTGACTGTAGGCTGAAACACTTCATTGATGGGCTTCCTTAATTTCTTTGAGTGCTTCAGAATAATAACTACTCTGCCTGTCAAGTCATCTGCAGCATTTTCATCCATCACAATGGAAGCGGTCAAGCTGGGAGCCCCTGTCACGGCTTCCGAAACAGAACGCTTCCCCGAGGACTGAAACACACCTCGTTGAGGCCTGAGGAGGGAAGCAGCACTTTGGTGTTCTAGGCTCCAGGCTAGTTTCTTCTGTCTGGACTGAGTCCCTCTGTGCAAATCTAGGCTATCTTGCTGCTCTGCATCTTGTCGAATGACAGCCTTGGGAAATTCTGTGCCCATCCCGGGAAATGGTTCTCTTTCACTGGAAATTTTCCCAAACCATTTTTCTCTCTTGACTTCTTCCCGGTATCTTTTCAGCCTTATCACAGGAACCTCAAACTGGACTGAAACTTGTGTAGGGGCTTCCTTCTGCCCTTCTGTCCCTTGACTCTCCTTTTCATATTCTGCAATTTTTTCTTTCAGGGCCGCTTGCAGCAATTTGGCGAGCAAGTACAGTTTCTTCAGGTCACTTTTGTCTGCCCACGTCACATCCATAAAGTCATCCGCTTTCAGGTTGCTTAATTGCTTGACTGTTGTGAAAATGTGTGGGGTGAGGTTGTGGAAATGGATGCCAAAATGTGAGAGGCCCTGGGTCACTGCAAGAGACAGGGTTGAGTTGTCTTGTAGAGGCTTCTCAGGAAGAACGGTCAAGGTGGTTCTTGTATTTTGCTTCCTGGTTTCTAAGACCTTCATGACTTCATTCTGCATCTTATTCAAAGTTCCTTCTTGGTCTGCTCAGGAAGAAAAAAAAAGATCATATTGATTTTGGAGAAGAGGAAGAAGAGGAGGAGAAATATATGGTGTCTACAGCAGACATAGGCTGAATGTTTGGAGAAGTTTAGAAAAGAGAGATGCATGTTTGCAGAAGTGCACATCCACACGACATTGTGTGTGGAGGGTGCTGTATAGCCGCTTCACCACCTATATTCAGGACTAATACATAGTGTGTATCATTTCTCCTGTTTTACAATTAGTTCTGTTTTACTATTTTTCAGAAAACAGGAACAGCCCTATGATTGAAACACTGAACAAATAAGGAGAGCTTTACCATGAAGCGCCCAGTCCATCTAGTTTTACCATTTTCTTGCCACTAATGCAAGTGGGCAACTTGCAGCAGCAACAGGTCTCTGCGCATGGAAGGATGGGCTTTGTAAGCAAGGCACTTTCTGGCTGAGCTTGCTCTTGCTAAGCCTCAGCTGCCTTACAATGGCCACTGCTCCTCAGCTCCCAAGAATTGTCCCAGAACCACCCTTTGTTGTGTCCAGAAAGCAGCATTAAGATTTTTTTCAACATTAAATGCCTAACTATAAACATCAGCTTTGCACAAGCGTTTGACAGTAGATCACCAAGGCCACCCTTTGTTGTGTCCAGAAAGCAGCATGAAGATTTTTTTCAACATTAAATGCGTAACTATAAACATCAGCTTTGCACAAGCAAATGTTTGGCAGTAGATCACCAAGCAAGTTATCAAGTGTGTTATCTGTTTGAGCTGCAGAGCTGAGGAGTGCACACTGTCCGGAAGAAGGTCTTTGGACCACATGGCTAATCCTGTTTCTGCTTGGCTTCTTCACCAAGTCTTACATGGTGGCCAGAATCCAATTGGTGATTTACACTTGTGTAAAAGTAATGGCGGGGAACGTGGTGGCGCTGCGGGTGAAACCGCAGAAGCCTCTGTGCTGTAAGGTCTGTAGATCTTCAGCTGTAAGATCGAGTCCACGTGATGGAGTGAGCGCCCGTCGCTTGTCCCAGGTCCAGCCAACCTAGCAGTTCGAAAGCATGCAAATGTGAGTAGATTAATAGGGACCACCTCGGTGGCACGGTAACAGCGTTCCACGTCTAAGTCGCACTGGCCATGTGAGCACGGAAGATTGCCTTCGGACAAATGCTGGCTCTATGGCTTGGAAATGGGGATGAGCACCACCCCCTAGAGTCGAACACGACTGGACAAAAATTGTCAAGGGGAACCTTTACCTTACCTAGGGACGTGGTGGCGCTGTGGGCTAAACCGCAGAAGCCTTTGTGTGCTGCAGGGTCAGAAGACCAGCAGTCGTAAGATCGAATCCACGCGACGGAGAGAGCTCCCGTCGCTTTGTCCCAGCTCCTGCCAACCTAGCAGTTCGAAAGCATGTAAATGCGAGTAGATAAATAGGTACCACCTCGGTGGGAAGGTAAACAGTGTTCCGTGTATAGCCATGCTGGCCACGTGACAACAGAAACTGTCTTCGGACAAACGCTGGTTCTATGGCTTGGAAACGGGGATGAGCACCGCTCCCTAGAGTCGGGCACGACTGACTAAAATATCAAAGGGAACCTTTACCTCTACCTTTAAGGGTAATGGCATTTGGCAACAAGTTGTTGCTCATTAAAAAGTTGCATTCCTGGGCAGGTACTCCTTCCTAGAATGCAAATGGCACCTTGCTTATGAGGAGCAATTTGCTACCTAGACTTCCTGGCATTTATCTCATATAGATCACCAACAGGATTCTGCTCACTGTATTTTAATAGTAGGTTATATGAGAAAAAAATAGGGGGTGGGGGGGAAGAGAGCTATTTATAATGACTATTTGCAAAATGATCTAAATCTGTTACAATTAAGTCTCCAGGTTAGGGAGGGCTGAATCCAGTTTTATTAGGACTGCATGCAGCCCTGTGCTTGCTTTGGCTTCCCTGCATTAATCAAAACATATAAACTAGTAAATGAATGGCTCATTTATTTTGAAGAAAGCTCTTAGTGGAATTTTCTGGTGATGCTCTAGAACCCTATATAACCTGCCCAAGGCTAAACAGGATGGCTTTTCTCAATTTGTTCAGTGGTAAATTGACCTCCCAACTGGTGACTCTATAGCCAAGTGCTCCAACTCTGTTAGCTATCCTGCTAGCAATTTTTAAAAAAGAAGTGAGGAGCAGGGCTACATTCTGCGAGCCCCTCCCCAACAGTGTACAGATCTCACAAATCCCTTCAGCTGATGTTTGTGCTCTTTGTGCAGAGGTCTGCTGGAGAAGGTCATGTGATGCACACCATTCTAGGAAAGAGACTACATGCCATGACCGAGCTCCTGGCCCATGTATTCACATTGCCACTGTGTTGAATGCCTGAATAGGAAGCTAACAAAGGAAACTGAGTTCACGGAAATGGCTCTCAACCTACCACACAGAGTGGTGTTTATGTCACATGCCTCTGTGCAATCCAATTTGATGGTCTCACACAAAACTTCGATGTCGTCCTGAATACGGCAAAGGCAGCAGAACACCTTCTTGGGCAAGATGCTATAGAGGAATCAGGAAGACAAATATCTCACCACTTTTGCTCAGTCCTTTCAATGTCTGGTGACCTCTGAACTCTTTTAGGTCAAGAACAATCCACATCTCATTGCAAGGGTGGATGGACAGCACTCTTGCATCTGAGGATCAGCCCTCTCCTTCTTATGGTTGGTCCCAACCTATTGTCATTAAAATGTTCTTCCATGCCTATATCTGTCTAGAGAAACTCCCTTTTATTTTATGAGATAGCAAGTGAAATGAGACAGGAATCCTCCTGTATGAATGCTGATAAACTGCTCCATGAAAATTACAGCATTTAGAGAAAGCTTCCACATCTCATTTCCTACTCCGAGACTGTATGAGAAAAGGTGGAAACAGGAACAGGGGAGGCAGATAACATAGAGCTAACAGCCTTTTCCACTCATTCCCCACAGTCTTGAAACCCAGCAAAAGGAAAAGGCCACACAGTACTTACAGTGTTTTCAGCTGAATGGAGGTTTTCAGTATCTCCACCACAACATTTGGCACAATATTTGTAGCACCTAAATCTCTGCAAAATGACATACATTCTTTGTTGTATTAGTCAATAGGAACAAGAGACACAAAAGGATAATCTGCATAGTGCAGCAAGGCTGTATAATAACTATTTGACCCTATTTCACGGGTCTAAATAAGCTGGCCTAATGCATTATTATTCAGCCTATTTTACCAGGTAGGATGAAATTAATAACCTTCCTCTGTTTTCCTTTCCTAATGTGCCACTTCCTAAACAAAGGACACAAGCATGATAATATTTGAGTACAAGGGGATGGATTTATTGCTTCTGGATGACATTTAATATGTTGCAGAATGGAAAGGCTTTGCTCTCCACCTGGCTTTGAAACACCATGGGACTCCATCCTGTCATATGTCAAGCACTATTAGCAAGATTAAATAAAAGAGTGACAAAGTCTATGCAGTGTGCATTTCCCTAGCTACTGCATAATCACAGCACATGCCTAGGTGTCTAAGATGGAGAGGATGATGGTAGAGAAGATGTTCAGAACAAGATTGCTATGTAAAAGCAAGCTTAAGCCCTGAAACGTCTAACTGCGAGTTTAAACCCACATAGACGTCATGCCTCTGACTGGGAGGTTGGTCTTGTGGCACCCAAAGGCTGAACCAGGTTACTCAGCAGTGATACAAAAACAGCTGTAGCGTACAGTTGTAACCGGGCAGATTGATCTAACACCAGCCTCTCAATGGCAGTGGGAATAAAGCCAGGTCTCCAAAGGTTGAAAGGCTGCTTTGAAGGGAGGTGAAGCAGTATGAAGATACTGTACAATCAAACAAATTCTATGCATTAGTGCTTTGGAACAAATAAACCCGACTTTACAGCCTGCACAAACTCAGAGTAAATCCCATCTTCCTTCTTTAATTATTTCATGCCAGTGCTATAGTGGAGCCAAAGCTTGCCAGGTTGAAGCCCTGAGGCTTTCTGAGTAGCAGAAACTATCATATCACCTGCACCTTCCTAGCTTACCTGCCCCTTTGCACTTAGCTGCAATCATTACAGTAACTGGAAGAAAATTGACTTTCCCTGATACAATATGTCCAACCTATTGTCGGAATGGTGGTTCGGTCTTGAATGGACAATTTACAGCTGCTCTTCATTTGTTAAAACATACCAATAAGCTGTTTACATTTATAAGGTTCCCATGGTTGTGTGTGTGTGTGTGTGTGTGTGTGAAATTGATCTTAAAGTTAGTACATTTGCTGTCTTGGACTACAACTGCAAAAACGTTAGGATTCTGGGAACTGCCACCCAAAAAATGTAATTTTCCCAATGATTCTATCACGCTGACTTCTTTAGATTTGACACGCCAACCGAAACATCTCTAATGAAAGTAAAAGCAAGTCAGTGTGTCATCTACTTACAGGAACTTCAGTGAGGGCAGTTTATAAAAATAATCATCCGCAACAGCAGTGAGGGGATTGTGGCTGAGAATCCTGCAGGGCAAAGGTAGAAGGAAGGGAGGGAGAGAAGGAAGCAACTGGTTACCAGATTTCTGGGTAGGCAGCAAAGAATGTAGCAAGACCACGGTACAAGTGGCAGACCAGCCGTTTCTAACCCAATTGACCATCTCAAAGACATCTCCTGTTGCCCTTAGAGCTGCAGTCTTTTGCCCTCATGGGTTATACAGGAGGTGGGGTGGTGTCAACAGGCAGTGGATGGCTTGAGCCACTGGTGGGTGGACCTGGACTGGCAAAAGGCAAGTCCAGAGCCAGTGTCCCTCTTACATAAACCATGACACCACAGTGTCTCCACCCACCCCTTCAGCAGAAGCAGTGACTTTTGAAGTATCTGATGGAGGTTTGATCCTGTGTGTCTCCTTCTCTGTCCTGCCTCTATGTATGTGTGAGTGAGACAGTTTGGAAACACCAAGTTACAAATCACATGTTATTGTTGTTTAGTTGTTAAGTCGTGTCTGACTCTTCGTGACCCCATGGACCAGAGCATGCCAGGCCCTCCTGTCTTCCACTGCCTCCCTGTATGGTCAAATTCATGTTGGTAGCTTCGATGACACTGTCCCACCATCTCATCTTCTGTCGTCCCCTTCTCCTCTTGCCTTCACACTTTCCCAACATCAGGGTCTTTTCCAGGGAGTCTTCTCTTCTCATGCGATGGCCAAAGTATTGGAGCCTCAGCTTCAGGATCTGTCCTTCCAGTGAGCACTCACTGATTTGATTTCCTTCAAAATGGATAGCTTTGTTCTCCTTGCAGTCCAGGGGACTCTCGAGAGTCTCCTGCAGCACCACAATTCAAAAGCAGAAATTCTTTGGCGGTCAGCCTTCTTTATGGTCCAGCTCTCACTTCTATACATTGCTACTGGAAAAACCATAGCTTTGACTATGCGGACTTTTGTTGGCAAGGTGATGTCTCTGCTTTTAAAGATGCTGTCGAGGTTTGTCATCGCTTTCCTCCCAAGAAGCAGGCGTATTTTAATTTCGTGGCTGCTGTCCCCACCTGAGGTATTATGGAGCCCCAAGAAAGTGAAATCTGTCACTGCCTCCATATCTT